ATACAGCTCTTAAAACACAATAAACATGTTTTTCATTAACAGAGACCTCAGTCACACAAATTTTACATGACCATTAAGCAAACTGAATAAACACTCACTGTGTAGTATTCCAGCAAATGGACTGAATCAGACTCAAAAAATGATAGATATTTCAACATTATTAAATCAAAGAGTGAATGTAAACCTAACTCAAACTCATCTTAAACCATAGGTTATTTATTTTGGATCGCACTTTCTTAATTTAAAACATCGCATGCAACAAAGATCAAGCCTTGATATCTGTAGTCGCAGATCGAGGTGCAGTCTTTGGCACGCCAAACCACATTCTCTGAAACAGCACTTGGCCTGACTGGAAACAGACCCTCATTGTTTATCTACCAAATTACACAGCTTTAATAAGCTGTTTCTAATCATTCTTTGTATAACCACGTTAAACAATGTTTCTATTTGTGAAGATATGTATTTCACTGAAATACGAGGGGTGTTCTGCTCTGTGTGTGCAGAGTGTGCATGTTCTCCCAGTGCCATGGGTGCCCTCTGGGTACATTGGCTTCTTCCTGCAGCCCAAAACCATGCATTTAGGCTAACTGTTGTTTCTTAATTGCCCACAGTGTACAAATGATGTGTTTGTGTATGTACTCAGTAATGGACTGCCATGCCATCCAGAGTGTTCCCCAGCCTTGGGCCAGGTACTGCCTGGGATGGGCCCCAGCACAACCAGACCTGGATTAGCCAATGGAAGCTGGATGGACAGACAAGTAAGACAAGCCAAGCAGGCAGTAATAAAGCACAGATAAAGAGTAAAGAGGAGGAAAAAAAATCTAACAGCAATTTAAGACAAACACACACTTATTTTTGTTTGGGGGGGGCACAGCTTTACTACTGATAAGAGACCAGCCTTCAGCACTAGACCGCAAATTCAGTCAAACACTTCAAACATACTGAGGAGCAGTTTGTAGCCTTATTTAAAAAATACAATACCAAGCAACCTCCTCTCAGACTGTTCACTCACAATCCTGCAGAGAGAAGATAATCATTCTAATGCAGCAATAATACAATAACATGCATTATATCATACAACTGAGTAATCCATAGTGAGCATTTGAAATTTACTATAAAGAATATTACTGTGTAAACTGGGCCAGTGCATAAAATTTCTAAAGGAATTACACCAAAACATGAACAAGGTCCATAGCCCAACCATAATCCCACCATTTTCAGTTACATGAGTAAAGGAAATGTACTGGGCTCGTGATGTCTTACAACTGTAAGAGATCATAAAATCTCTCTCATGAAGACCCAGGAAACACCCATAAGTTTTTCATGGGAAAGAGATGGAGAAAGTTTTTTTTTTTTTTTAAAGAAGCTTTCAATGCTCCCAGGAGTATTTAAAAACAATGGAAATAATGAGAGAACCCAGATATTACCAAAGTCTTCCCACAACAGTGGCCATCCAAATCTGAAGGGTAATTGTCATTGAAGTGACTATGCCAGCAACAACACTGAAGCTGACAGAGATGTTTGAAAAGCTACCTGCCCAGAAGGATAGGAATCGTGTCCAGGGTATTCTCGCATTTTATGCCCCTGGGACAGACTCCAGGCTGATGGTCTGGTGAAACAAAAATTGAGCTGTTTGGTCTGAAAGTGAAACACCAAGCCTAAGTCTAACACATCTGATAATCCAGGTCACATAAAATACGTAAGATTTTTATTTTAAAAGAAAATAAGTAATATGCTGCATGCAACAATCTCAAGCAGGCTGTCAGCAGCAGGAAGTGTTTAACAAATGCGTTCCCATAATGATCCCAGCCCTTTAATACACACACAGCAGTCTGACCTTCCCCCCGAAGAGCTGGGAGAGGTGGCTGGGGAGAGGGAGGTCTGGGTCACTCTCCTGAAGTTGCTACCCCCGCGACCCGACCCCTGGACAAGCGGATGATAATGGATGGATGGATGGATAGATGGATAATCTGACCTTCAACTCCATCTGCAGCAATAAAGATATGATCATTCTGTATCTGGTTAGAGGTAATTGGATAAACCGCTCTAATACTTGGCAATTACATCTATATTTACTGTTGGAAAAATATACGGGTCAAACTTCAAAACGGTAGAAGAATGCATAACAGTCTGACGAGTCGATCATCATATTCTATAACAGACATAATATTCGGTGATGATACCCTGAATTTTTCATAAATATAATTGATTTTTAAAGCTGCTTATCTGCCGTTGTTGTCCAATACAAAATCCAAATGTTTTAACACTACCTGCTACCCCGGGTTCTAACAGTAAAAACCACATCCACCAAATATTATGAGACAGCAATAATAGTGCAGAATCCATCCATTATGAGGTAATGCAATTACTAAAGAGCAATACATTACCATTAGTAATCAAACATATCATCTAGGAAAATCTAAAAGATAAAGGATCTTGAGAAGGGGACGGTCATATTAAATGGGTAATTTCTATGACCAAAACTCATATAACAATTGAGAAATTGTGTATAGCACTGACGACAGACATTTTGCATTTATTAAAAGCGACAGAGCAGTTTTGGTGCCAAAAGTATGAGGTGCGGTGCCAGATTCCCGCAGAACAGTTCCAGATCCTTGCCGACTCATTACCATTCATGCTCTCCTGCCTGATCCAACAATTTACAGAGTGCCATAGTAATCTCTTCATCCATTCCCTGGACATCAGATGGAAGTAGGGAGCTTTCTTATATGGCTGCTCATATACTGTATTTTCTAAGACCCGCAAACCGTCAACCCCTATAAGAACAATAACAATGTTGTACAGTCACCAAATTCAGAGCGTTGTGCAGAATAGGACATATGAAACTGCACACAACACAATAGAACAATATGAATAATTGCAGATGCATTTAAAAGAATCTGTGGTTTGGACTTCCATATAATGGCCATTTCCCATTGTGACAAAGAACCTCACGCATTTTATACTTCTGGTTTATTGTAATTTGCTGATAAGCCAACACTGCATGGCTTGTGCTTGAAGTAGCTTTACTTTCCTAAAAAAGTAATATTGCCTGTTTGAGGTAATATTTAGCAAAAATGTCATGAGTAAATGGGTTAAATATATTTACAAAAGTATGTTGTAAAAAAAATCATTTTTACAGTTGCACATTTGAGAGAACTGTCATTTGTTTTTGCTTATTGCTTTTTAAAATTGTTTATTGGTACCCTGTGGTACATTTGACAAAATGTTTCCATAATTATGGGATAAGTAATTAGCCAGTCTAGTCCAGACTTACACAGCCCTTCCTGTAGGGAAAAAATAAAACAAAAAAAACTTGTTCCCAAAAAGAGGCAGTTACGGAAATTCATTTCCTTTTTACCAAAAACATTTAACACACTAGTCTTCAAACGGCTGACGGAAACAAATGTAAAAAACAAACCTGCACATTAGTGAAAAGCTATGAAATGCCTCCATCCTCATCATTAAGTTAATGAACTACATCAACTTACTGCCACAAAGGCAGAGAACACAATAATCACTTTGTTTGTTGGTTTAAATTAAACACCACACTAAAAAACACTGGTAAAACTTTACTTGAAGCAGTCTACATAATGGTGACATGTAACCGTCATAAGAATGACATGACACCTGTAATGCACATTAATGACACATTATTGATGTTTATGACTGTTGTCATAATGTGTCATTCAGTTCCAAAAAACGAATGACACATTATGACAACAGTGATGTTTATGACAACAGTCATAAACATCAATAATGTGTCATTAATGTGCATGACATGTGTCATGTCATTCTTATGAAGGTTACATGTCACCCTTATGTAGACTGCTTCAAGTAAAGTGTTGCCAAAACACTAAATGTTAAAGTAGGTAAGCAGGGTATGGCCTCCTGAATCCACTCCAGAATTACTCAGGAGAGTGCTTTCATCTTTCCTTTCCATGCATCTTCACCTATTCCTCCTTACAGATGTTTAAAACAGCGGCAAATACAGATGCCAGGAAAGAAAAGTGCCTCGATCCTCAGACCCATGCCAATTACCCTTTCCGCCTGCTAATACTCGAGTAACATCCCATTAAGTCACCTATTTCTGAAACTTTGCTTGAAGCATAATAATACTATGCAAAAGTCATTCAGTCATTCCATCCATCTACCGCGTCATTTGTTATAGCGCCTTTGACTGATTGCTCCGTATTTTCCTTCGACATGAAACCGGACTCATATTCCTGCTTTGAAGTCATCCCAGTTCTTTAACTCTTTCAGCTAGCATGCCTCTATATAACCTTCGCGGCTACCCTGAAAAGAACAAACAGTTTCCAATGCAGACTTTTCCAGACATATCTAAAAAAAAAAAAACTGCCAGTCGGCCAGTCTGACCAGTACGGGTCAATTGGATCAGCAACCCTAATTTAAAATAACGCAAACATTGAAATGAATAATATCAGACCATCTGAATTGCTGGCAAACAAACAAACAAATGGGGAAAATAGCGGAAGTCGATATTATATCGACCTGATACCATTGCAGTTTAGTCAACCATATTAATGAAATGAAAATCTTCAGCCATTCATTTAGGATTTAAATATGACTAGCAAACGCACACCACGCCTGATGTCAAACTGCTCTCTATCGGGTACTTTAGCCACAGCGCCTCGCCAAAATGTTCTATACGACTGTCTGCCCCGGTAACTTTGAGAAGTTTTCCGCTGATAATGAGATTTTTGCGCTATTGACGCTGGAATAAATCATCTAAGATTGGAAAACCGTCCGGCGTCTGAAAGCAGCAGACAAAGCACGGCAACAAAGCAGAACCATACAGAGAGACATCTGTCAACGATTACTGAAACAGTAGCATGAATTAATAAAATGTAACTTACAAAGTTAAAGCACACATTTCTAAATTATACAGTTCTACTATTGTTATTTAATTTTTAAATTACAGGTCAATTATTTAATGTATATAAATATTATGCGAACATAACAACTGTGGTAAAACTTACCATTCGCCCGCCAATGTCTGAACTATTAAAGCGAACTCTGACTTAACTCACGCCGTTGATGAAATACCGTATATTATATAACTTCCAGTAACAGCTAAACCGTGGATGGGCTTCCTTTGGTCTTCCAGTCGCCTTGTGCCATAATACTGTTATTTTTTTATCCAAAGCAGTGTGTACCGCTTGCAATGCTTGGAGAACATCACGCCACTTCTGGTACGACTACGTACACTAAAGATTTCAGCTAAGCTTTCTAATAACAGGTTGTAAATGAGTCCTTGTTTTTAAGCCTTATGTATTTTAAAGAAAAGTACGTAAGGGATATACGAAGACTATTTAGAAGACTAAACATCAAGACTTGGAGTTCATTCTGTTTAAGTCAGTGTTTCCAAACATAATTGTTTCCAAGAGCTTGAGGAAAGAATTCAAAGACAGTTCTTCTCAGAGCACTCCTCCATCCAACAGGCATCAACAGTGCATATACTTTTATTACTGACCAAGCATACATTAAGTACTTTTAATTTTCTAGTCTGTGAAATGCAACCCTTAACTTTTCAGAAACGTTTACATACACACGCATCTATGTGGAACCAATAGGAACTTAAAGTTTTACGTTAAAAGGTGGAGAAAATTAAGCAACGCGAAAGAAGCCGCGCGGTCCTGCAGCTTTTCCCAGAACAGGCTCTCGGGATGGAAGGACTTATACTTAAGGTTCCTCATCCCTCTACAAAGTGTACGGAAGACCATTACGCTGGGAGGAGCCTTTGCTTGTGACGTATGATTCTAATTACCAATCGAACATCAAAAATTAAAGGAGGCGGGAATTGGCGAAAAAATTCGCTCCAATATCATTGGAGTTGGGAAAAGTGGGGCGGGGACATCGAAGCTGGTTCGTTACAAGCGACGTCATTGAATAAAATGCACGACAAAATGTGACCAATTTATTGATGACTATAATATGAAATAACGACGTTCATTTTTGTTTTTGATATACAGCATTTTAAATTATACGAGGTACCACCGCAGGGCGGTATATACCTCGTCAGTGTTTTTCAGAATCTAACAGCAACCGGAATTCTGGCAGGGATGTGCCACCATTCTTCTGCAAGAACTGCAAATCAGTCAGTCCATGTCTCAGGGTCATGACATATGGACAGCATCAAAATTATGTTCATCAAACCCCTGGACAACCACACGTGATCTGTGTGTGGGGACATTGTCATCCAGAATGACATCCAGAAAATTACACAGTACTGTAATTGAATTTAATATAATGGGCAAACCCAAAGTATGTAAATAAATAAATAAAATGTATAGGACCATTAGAGGCCTTCACTGTTGAAGTCAAGCACTCTTGGTAGTATATTTAGGTTGCAGGCTCTATATCAGGTATTTCCAATATGGTCAGATGAATCATCCCATATTGCATCCTTTGATAAGAATCACTTTTTGCATAAATTTGCTTTGTACTTTGCATAACTGCGCATGTATTTTGCCAGATGTAGAGAAAACTAAATAAACGGAATTATCCCTAACATTCAAGGGTTACATTTTTAGAAGTAATAAATATTACATTATTTAATGAAAATGAAAACTTGCTTTTTTAACCATTATAGGCTTTCCTTAGCAACATAAATGTGCTTTAACTGAAATAAATTATACCTAATCTTTAATTTATGTGACTGGATGTGATTTGAATTGTTCTACAGTACTGTGCAAAAGTCTTAGGCAGTCAGAAAGGTTGGAAGCTATTTATCTGGGTAGTACATGTGCATTGATTCAAAACAAAAAACACAATATAGTTTTAGAACATATAAAATTAGCATTAACATAATAAAAACTAGTAAAAATGTCTTCGATTTTCTAAAAAGTTCCTGATATCTAGTCAGACAGCTAGATGAAAACTGCTTCAGTTCCTAAACCTCTTCTCAGGGGCACTGCAGCCATTAATGTAATTAAATTAATTAGTTTTAAAATGTAAATGAGATAATTATTAGCTATACAAGGTGTGTTAGTGGTTGAGACAAAAAACACATGGGTGTATTGAATGGTTGCTTCAAATACTGGGGTGATTTTAGCAGAGGTTTTGAAATGGCTGACATACTTTGACAGGCATAATAGCACAGCTTTACACCAACATGAAGATCATTTAAACATAACTTTCTTTTGCTGCCTAAGACTATTGCACAGTACTGTATTTTTTTAGTCAGTATAACATTGAGTACTTGTCCAGAACTTGTCCAGAACCACTGCACCATCGGGACTAAGTCTGGAAATCAGCAAACCTAGATAATGATGCAGAAAGTATAAATGGGGATATGCAAATGTTATGCAATTCAGTGTAATTAGTATCAAATTAATATCTGGAACAACATCTGGGGTGACTGGGTGACTTACCATTCAGTGAAACAAAGCAATTTATGGGGAGGAACTTGGAGGCACAGGTGTTTGGTGAGGTCTGCTGGTGGCTGGGGATCGTGAAGACCCTCAGCAGCCCCCTTCACCCTCAGAGCGACGGGCTGGTGGAGTGGTTTCTCCATACTCCAGCCACACAACTGGCGATCCTCACAGAAGGGCACCAGCGTGACTGGAACACCCACCATCCTCTGGTCCTGCGGGCTTATCTGGCAGGTGGTACAGGAAAGTACCGACTGCACCCCCGCCACCCTTATGTTTGGCCTTGAACTGCTGACCCTGGAGGAGCTGGTGTTCGGTTTGCCCCGGTGACACCAGGACTAGACTACCTGCGCCAGCCCGGGGGGTGTTTACACGTTGTGCATGAGCTGGCCAGGGATCGTCAGAGCGCGGCCACAGCCTGACAGAAGATGGCACCCGACACCATAACTAAGCAGTAAAAATTTTTAAATTAGCCAAAAAAAAAAAAACTTGGGGTCTCTGTCCAGTTTCCTTTTAAGGTGCTCCAGCCAAACTAAGGCAAGCTACCGTGTAAGACAAGGTTCCCCATTTCACTCGGATTCACAGTGTATGTTAATGCAACTGTGTTTCGGCATCCATTCAAACACAATTTTTAGCCTTGTAAGCTTGTACACACTCTGGATTTCCCCCTGCTTTTAAGTTTAATGTTATATTTTCTATCACAAAATGCACACTAATATTGGTGCCATTGAATATCAAAAAGCAAATTGCAATAGTTATACAAAATGAAGACAAATTGCAGAATAATGCAATCTTATTAATAGATTGTTTGGTATTCCAAGTCTAATTTGAACATTTCTTTGCTCAATAGCTCTGCAGAATTATGTGGTCAGACAAATATTCTTAAATCCCATCTGGGAAGCAGATGCGCTATGTCATGAAACAGTGAAGGATGACAGGTTGGAGGGTGAGGTCAGTGGCTACATAACAATGCACTTTGCTTTTGAACTGTGTAGAATAACAGGAATAAATAACACTTATGAGCAGCAGATGTTTGAAAAAAGTTACACAGTTTACAGAAAAGTATTGTTTAAATGCAATGCAACAATTTAAATAATTATAATAATAATAATAACTTCTAGTTACCAGACCAAATTGTTAAGAAAACCTATAATTAATAGGAAACTAACATGAGTTGTTTGAAAATATACTACATTAGATTGCAGGAATGCAGTCTCCATAAACATTTCTTTCCAGCTGATTATGTAGAGATAACCACAGTTGCACATTCATACTTGATTTTATTTTGTTTTCATGTCTCATTAGTACCTCAACTGTGACTTCAGTATTTCTGTATATTGATCACACATTTCCAGCTATGTCTGGTGATCCTCTCGGGAGCTTCGTGCCTTATCAGTAAAAACCCTCAGCCTCTGGCTGAACAAGTGAGAAATCCAATACACTTAAGGCACATATCCAGTAAAACATCTTGAATCTGAATTATGACTTCAAACACTGACCTGGATAAGCGTTTGGAAGGTAGATGGATGGAATATTAATTTAACTGCTAAGATACAACAAACGCCATTGATGTGTATATGCAGTTTCAAGATCAGGAACAAATATTTAAAAAACAAAACTCCCACAGCATTGAAATGAAAGACCCCGGTATAAAAACAGAGGACATGATTTGTTTACCGTATGTATGCTGCACCATTTTTGTTTGACTGTTATTTGTGTCTCAAGCCATAAACATTTTTATAAATTCACTAACACATCAGAGGTTAATTTATGCAAAGATCATATTAGGGTTTATATACATACATACATACATACATACATATATATATATATATATATATATATATATATATATATATACATATACACACACACACACAGACTATATATATATATATACACAGACTATACACACACACAGACTATATATAGTCTGTGTGTGTGTATATATAAATTCGAGTTCTGAGGTACCACTGTGTGTGTGTGTATGTATGTATATGTGTATATATATATATATATGCACACACACACATACACAAACACACACACACACAGTGGTACCTCAGAACTCGAATTTAATCCATTCAGAACTCCGGATCGAATCCTAAAAAGTTTGACTTCTGATCGAATTTTCCCCATAAGAAATAATGGAAAACCAATTAATTAAATCAAACACAAAAAATTACACCTAAACGTTTTTTTTTTTTTTTAGCATTTAAACACAAAATGAACCGGATAAAACAAGAGCATATACTGTACTAAACACATCTAAGCACATTTATCAAAACAGTAACTTGTAAAGTAAGAAAATAAATGTATCCAAGTAATGTGTAAAGTTAAAAAAAACAATGTGTCCACTCCTTCTGTGTGCCACGCCCCCTCGTTAACCCCGTGTGGAATCCCCTAGTGATCAGCTGTTTCTGGTTGTTGTCATTAGTCCTCTGTATTTCGTCCGCGTTTCAATTTGTTTCCCCAGTCCGGTCATTGTATTGTCCGTCTGCGTTTTGCCTGCCTTACCTGTAATTAAACTCCGTATTCCCCGATACCCTGACGTCTGCGCCTTTGTTTCCGTTCCGTCCCCGCTCAGCACGACAATATTATTATAATGAAATGTATTAATGAAATGTTATTAATATTAAAATAAGAAATCCTTATTTTTAAATGTATTTTATTATATAATAATAATAATTACTGTTACTCATTGTCTAAATGTATTTTTACTGTCAAAATATATGTATTCAGCTAGTGTAAACATGCACGATGCTATCACAGCGAATGCGAGGCTCAGACTGAAGCTTTACCCTTTGTTTCTGCTGAGAGACATGCCGCGTGACTCATTTCCCCGTGTGTACAAGTTATCTTGGGTCGGCATTTACTGTTTGACTTCTGAGATTCAGATCGAGCTCTGTGAGAGTGTTACAGCATTCTGGGAGGAAACCAAACTTTGCCACTCATCCCCAAAATGTATAACAACTTCAATTCTAACTGGAATATCAACTATAACACCTGTGGTATTTTGGACATTGAAATTGCAGTTGTTTTTCTTTCCTCCTAGTAGTGCAAGTTTTTGTTCCTCTAGTTCACTGACTTCTGTTTTTTCCTGCTTACACAGTGTGCAGTTTGTATGCTTATGCATGTATGTATATGACGTGCTCTGGGGCAGTTATGCTGGGAAGGGCACGTCATAAAAATAAGCTAAATTCAATATAAGAATACCAAAATCTGCAAAAACCACCACTCTGATCTGGGTAAAGTAATACTTATGGTATATTTGAAAAAGTTACTTAAATGTACCAT